CCCCAAAACCCCAAAACCCCAAAACCCCAAAACCCCAAAACCCCAAGCTCACTTCCTACACAGAACAACCTTTCTAAAATATGTCAAAATTACCACTAAGGCTTATAAAATCTGTCTAAGATTCTTTGGGGATTGAGCACCTTCTTCATGAAGGGAGAGGACGATCGGGGAGGAGTCGTAGGGACTTTTAGGATGCAGGCGTTGCTTTGGGCTGTGTTGGAGGAGGAGTTTAGGGTCAGGCTTGGTTGGGAAGGGGTAGGGGAGTGGGGATGTGGGGATTTGTGCTCTTCTGTGGGGGCTGGAGCGGGGGTTGGAGAGGGAGTTGCGGAGGGGGTGGTGGGTGGTGGAGGGGTTTGGGAGGGAGGTTTTGGGGCTGTAGAGAGGTTTCAGAGGCTTCGAGTGAAGGTTATTATGGATTTTAGGAGGAATATGAGGCATATTAGGCCTCCAATCATCGGAGTTATCATTAGAATTTGAGTAAAATAAGACTCATAAAAAGCACTCCAATCAGATTCTGTATCAATCCAGATCAGAGGAACAATCAAGCAACAAAACAATATTTGGTTGATAGTTTCAATAATGTTGTCTTGCAAATTCACAAAGGGCCTGACAATCAGCAGATAGGCTCCATATCCACCATTGAGTAATAAGAAACCAGTTGCTTTACATGAAGATGGAAGGGAGTTTCCAAAAATGAGCAAAAAAACTGATAAAAGCCTGAGTAACAAAAACAGGCTCGAGTATAATTTAGAGTATCTACCCTCCTTGACTCCACTAAAGTATTCTTTTCATAGCCAAAATTTGTCATCTTTAATAGGAGAAAAGGAATATTTATAAAGATAGAACGAAAGAAGAAATGGCACACTTGTACAAATAGCGTACACTCCTCAAAATGCAAGAGATATTCTGGAAGCTGAGGTGTTCAGATTCAGTGCATACATTTCTGAGAATATCGATAAAATTGTAAATAAAAATGCTTGAATGAATGCTCTGATATAGATGTTAAAAGTGAAGAATTCAAAAAGATCCTTCATTAATTTTGCCCATTTCTTTTTCTTTGTTTTGATAGTTCATCTCCTTCACAAAATGATTCATCAATGTCAGATTCCAATGAATCAAATAAATCCCAAGAATGATAAGTAGTTCATAAATGAGCTTCCAGAATTTATCCCAATGCTTCCCAGGTACTCGTTAGACTGGGGATAATCAATCCACTCTGTGATTTCTTCAACGAATTGGATATCCTCCAGTTTGACAAAATCAAATGACAATAATGTAAAGCTCATTCCTTTTAAGAAAGCAATAACGTCAATGGGGAAGTGGTGAGGAATTAGAGGAAGCAGTATTGCCAACTGCAAGCTGTTCATTACACTAAACATTGAACTAATAGATGAACCTGATAATATTGAAGATACAGAAGCAATTGAAGCGCTTGAAGCTACCATAGCAGATGCTACAGCTGCATTTTCTGGAATTAAAGATACTTTAATCTCAATCTCATCTCCAGGTTCGGTCTGAATTTCGCTACAAGATTTATTGCCATTAGAAGTTTGGTAACCTTTGGCTCAATCCTCACAAATGGTTTGGTTTCCCAGTTGACACATCTCACAGTTTGCAATGCTTCAACCTTCAACAGTGATCTCGAATCTTTTGAATCTAGTTTCACTGTTGTAAGATATTTGCAACGAGAAATAGTAAGTTTGGGACACACTGAGCTTAGGAGTCTTGTTAAGATAGAGTTCTTGGCTATTAACATCAATTTTTACCCAATCAGGTATAGAATTCCCTCCACTCTGAGCCAAGCTAAACCCAACAACAGTAGGATCAACAGTATGTGTTCATGCCCAAATAAAATCCAGCTCCACCAACGAATTACTCAGTACCGACCGAACATAATCTTCATTCCACAAAGCAACAGAAGCAGTAAATGAAGGAGTCACCGATGTGGTCCTATCTGTGCTCGTTACTGGACCAGGAGTTGTGATAGATAGGGTACGTGGCGTTGAAATCAAGCTAGGGCCCGTAGTAGCAGTTGATATTGTGTAACTGGTGGTGATCGGAACAAAACGAAAAGTGTCAATTTGGAATTCAGACAAACTATCAATTCTATCTGTTGATGCTCTTCCAAGGAAAAATGTATAATTTGTTCTATACATACCGGGGAAATACATAATCTCTTGTTCTCCTGATTGATATCGGAATGCAGCATATGAACTTCATGTCATAGTCCTATATTCCTTAATAACCATACTCCCATCCTTCTTAAACAACATTAGCCTGGTAAAATTAGGCGTATACGTCGAAGTATAAAGCTGAGCAGTCACAAATTTGTCAAACTCATTCATTGAATACACACCTCCCCCAGGATTACTCCAGATAAACCCTGAGCTCACTGATGCCCCATCCTGCACACGAAGAAAATAGAGCAAGAAGTTGCCTTTGAGCTGAACCATTGTGTAGATAAGTTGGCCGTCTTGGCTGATTAGGGATTTACCATTTTGAGAGGCTCATCCAGAAGTTTGTCATGAGACATTCTTTTTCCAAGTTAATCTTGGAGTGGCAGAGAAGTTGTAACTGACTAAATAGTATTTGTTATTTGCAAAGTCAATTGATCCAAAGAATAATATATCTGAACTTATTGGGGCCAGATTCGTAAAGGCATTTACCCCAAAGTTAAATCAATCTAAGTTCGAAGTAGTCATGTCCCATCTGCAAGTTTCCATCACTCCGCTTAGCTGTAAGCTAAAGAAGAAGTTATTCTTCCAAGCCATCTGTGAGCTTGTATGCACTGTAGCCCCACTGATGGACAATCCTCTAACAACCCCAAGTGTATCAGCCCTAATCTCAAATATCTTCCCACTACTTCTATCCAATACATACAAAAATCCTCCGCTTAAGTCAATCGTAAATGAAAAGTATTGGCAATAGATATTATAAGTCATAATTTTTACCTTAGTCAAGTCATAGTCTGATTTATAAATGACAGTATGAAATGGAACTGAACCGAAATAGTAAAATCCCATAAAATAGAGAAACTCTTGCTCTTGATCCTGTAATATATCAATAAAATAAGAAGAAGATGCTCCAGGTATAGAAAACGTCCCTGCAACAGGAGTAGTTATCATTTCATCTTGGTTCTTGCATACATTAGCTGTTACAGTCATAATAGATATAAGCAAAATAATTACCCTCATTTTAATGTAAAATTTTGTTAATTCTATTAAATTTTCTCCATTTGGGGTTTTGGGGTTTTGGGGTTTTGGGGAG